GGGGGATAAGTCCTATTTTAACAACACCTTTTGTACAAGTTTGTTTGTCTTTTCTTTTACAGTTCATAAAAGCCTCCTAGGAAGCTGGAATTATGTCTGCTGGCACAACAAAATACAATGTTGGACATGCATTTCTCCCCTTTATCCATCCCACCTGTTGTATTCTGTCCAAAGAGAATAACAGAGTTGTAAAGAGCTTCAAGGGTCATCTAATGTCTACTACTACCTCCTACGGTGACGGCAGTGAAAACCCACAGTGTGCATGAGATGGTTTGCTCTTACTGTTTCGTTTTGTTTTGCATTGGCTCGACCTCTCCTATACACCCCTGTGGCAGCCATCTTGTGTTAAGCTCCACCCTCACAGCAGCCATTTTGTGACTGGCACCCACGTCACTTTCTCAAAATTCCAGATGGCCCCCAAAAAGGTTTGAAACCCTTGATCTAAGGATTCTACGGTCCTGAAATATCTACATTGGCTCCCAGTACGTTTCCAAGCACAATTGGGCCGTTTAAAGCCCTAAACGGCCTTGGCCCAGTGTACCTGAAGAAGCGTCTCCACTCCCATCAATCAGCCCGGACACTGAGGTCCAGCTCTGAGGGCCTTCGGGAGGTTCCCTCACTGTGAGAAGTGAGGTTACAGGGAACCAGGCAGGGGGCCTTCTCAGTAGTGCCACCCACCCTGTGGAACACCCTCGCATCAGATGTCAAGGAAATAAACAACTATCTTTTAGAAGACATCTGAAGGCAGCCTGTTTAGGGAAGTTTTATGTTTGATCTATTATTTTGTTTTTAAGATCCTGTTAGAAGCCACCCAGAGTGGCTTAGGAGGCCCAGCCAGATGGGCACGGTATAAGTAATAAATTATTATTACTGTTGTTGTTGTTGTTGTTGTTGTTGTTGTTGTTGTTGTTGTTATTCTCTAATAATAATAATAATAACGGTAAGGCTCCAAGGAGGCTGAAGCACACAGTGACCTTGAGCCAGCCATCTTTATTCATCTTGATTGACTAATTCAGAGTTTTCCAAACTTGGGTCTCCAGCTGTGGTTGGACTACAACTCCCATCATCCCTGACCACTGTTCCTGGTAGCTGGGGATGATAGGAGTTGTAGTTCTACAACAGCTGGAGACCTAAGTTTGGAAGACCCTAGACTGATTGATCGATAGCATTTAATTCCATTGCATCTCTTCTTCTTCTTCTTCTTCTTCTTCTTCTTCTTCTTCTTCTTCGATCACTCATAGCCAAGTAAGATTGTCTTCCATAAACACGGTTTTAACAATGAGTCCATAAGTGACTGTGGAGGCCATTTCTGGATCCACACGTCCTTCCACAGTGGGGACAGAGGTTTCTGGGCAAGAGTTGATCATGGTGAGGGTTTGCCAAGTGTGCCTTCCTCTTAGCACGTTTCTCCCTCTCATCCTGAGTTTGAGCTTCTTCAAAGCCCATGACACCTTTGGTAAAGGCTGTTCTCCAATTGGAGCGCTCGCAGGCCAGTGTTTCCCAGTTGTCAGTGTTTACACTACACTTTTTTAGATTTGCCTTGAGACAGTCTTTTAACCTCTTTTGTTGACCACCAGCATTATGCTTTCCATTTTTAAGTTTGGAATAGATTAGTTGCTTTGAAAGATGATAATCAGGCATCCGCACATGACCAATCATCTCACACAACCCCCAAGAAGCTCATTCCCTACCTATTTTAACCTTACAATATTTACAAAACCAACCAACCAACAAAAAAAGCAACCAATAAGAGTCAAACCATCATCACAATAGTCCGGTGACCAACAACAATGGGAGATAAAATGAATTAACCCCTAGTACCAGGGAGAACTTTCCCAGTAGTGATGTATGGAAGTGAGAGCTGGATCATAAAGAAGGCTGATTGCCAAAGAATTGATGCTTTTGAATTATGGTGCTGGAGGAGACTCTTGAGAGTCCCATGGACTGCAAGAAGAGAAGAGGAGAAGAGAAGAGAAGAGGAGGTTAAGGGGTGATATGATAGCCATGTTCAAATATATAAAAGAATGTCACATAGAGGAGGGAGAAAGGTTGTTTTCTGCTGCTCCAGAGAAGCGGACACGGAGCAATGGATCCAAACTACAAGAAAGAAGATTCCACCTAAACATTAGGAAGAACTTCCTGACAGTGAGAGCTGTTCTACAATGGAATTTGCTGCCAAGGAGTGTGGTGGAGTCTCCTTCTTTGGAGGTCTTTAAGCAGACAACCATATGTCAGGAGTGCTCTGATGGTGTTTCCTGCTTGGCAGGGGGTTGGACTCGATGGCCCTTGTGGTCTCTTCCAACTCTATGATTCTATGATTCTATTCTATGATTCTAAGAAGATCAAACTTATCCATTCTTAAGGAAATAAGCCCTGAGTGCTCACTGGAAGGACAGATCCTGAAGCTGAGGCTCCAAGACTTTGGCCACCTCATGAGAAGAGAAGACTCCCTGGAAAAGACCCTGATGTTGGGAAAGATGGAGGGCACAAGGAGAAGGTGGTGACAGAGGATGAGATGGTTGGACAGTGTTCTCGAAGCTACCAACATGAGTTTGACCAAACTGCGGGAGGCAGTGGAAGACAGGAGTGCCTAGCGTGCTCTGGTCCATGGGGGTCCAGAGTTGGACGAAGAGTCGGACACGACTAAACAACTAAACAACAACAACCAGGGAGAACATAAATGGCTTTACTTCTTGGCAGAAACCCATTGAGGACCCAGGGTAGGACCATAGCTCAGTGGTAGAGCATCTTGCTTTGCAATCCCTGGCATCTTCAGATGAGGCTGGGCATGTCCCCTTTCTGGGATCCCGGTGAGCTACTGCCAGTAGACAAAACTCAATGCAATGGAACAATTGCCTCATTCAGCACAAGGCAGCACCCTCTGTTCTGAAGGGAATTCCATATGCAGGAAGCCACAATAGAAAGTGCTTTATCTCTGCCTGCCATCCCCCAGTGGCTTTCCTTTTTCATCTCTAACACATCAGGAAGTACCTTTCGCATTTCTAATGTGGTCCCTCGCACAGCATCTCCTCTCCTCCTTTCTACATTTTCATGCCACTCTAAGTTTGGTGGGGGGAAAGTTACTTGGAGACTGATGTGCCTGAAGTAATAATACTCCAAAAAGCCGTCGTTAATGAGGCATGATCTCTTACTTACTTGAGCTGAATTAATCCATTTGAAACATTAAACTTCACGCTTACATCTATGCAGTGGCATTGATTCTCCAAGAAACTGACATTCGGTTTATAAGAAAAGGTGTCACTTCTTCGCTTTTAATCTGAAGCCTGCAATGCCTGTCAACAGTTCCCAACCTCTGATGATCAGAAGCGGCTTGTTGGGTTAATTCTACCGAAGCTGGCTGAAATCTTATGTTCAAGATCTGTGGGTGGAGCAGGGGGCGGCTTAGGTCATGCATGCAGAAACAAAAGGTAGAAGAATCTCAAAGAAATCTTACCAGAAATATGGAATATTATGGCGTTTCCATGCTTCTTCTTTTTTTTAAAAAAAAGCTCAAAACACAAAATCCACAGGGGTTTTACATTATCGTCCTCCCTACCAGCTCCTACTCTTGAGTATTTTCCTTAAAATCCATACCTGTATTGAACACTTCCTTAAACATGTTGCATTTCATTGCATACCTAGAATGGACACCTTCCATTCCATTCTGGTCAGAAGAGAGGTGCAAAGAGCTTCTCTCTGTGGGTGAACGTGGTGGTGACCGATGTAGATGCCCTTTTCCATCGATGAGGAGGGGGATTGAAGTGGGGGGGGGGACATGCCTGCACCATTCTATGGCCCTGTCTCTTGTTATTTATTCTTATCATTTATTAAAATTGTATACCGCCCCATACCCGCAGGTCTCAGGGAGGTTTTGAAAGATAAAATCATAATATAAAGCTATAAAACACAAAATGTAAATGAAAAAGAACAACCCAATAATACCCCTACTCTTTTCCTGCTCATTTCAATGTGGCAACCATTTTTGTGTTGTCGGGCACGTGCCCCCCCCCCCCCCCGAGTGCAGGAGATGAGTTAGACTTAGAGACTGAACTAAATGAATGAGGGTCTGACTCTGCAGATGGCTGTCAGAATCGATAAAGGGCAGTTTGACCCCCCTTTCCGGAGAAGACTCTATTAGCTCTCAAGGAGAGGAAGAGTTGGAAGGCAGCCCGAGAGTTGCTAGGCAATCAGCAGATAAGCAGAGGTCTGAGTCTGGGTCGTGTGGGAGTGAGGAGGAGGAGGGAGGTCAGCCTCTCAGTCCCTGATCCAGACGTCTGGAAAAAATCAGAAGGCAAGGGGGGAAAGGGGGGAGTCTGCCATCCTTCCTGCTGTGTGAAGGGCGAAACTTCAGACTGACCAACAAATGTAAATGCGAGCAGACAAGATGCCGGGCTCTGGATGGGATGTGTCTTTTTGTAAAATAAAAAATAGGTAAAAGGTAAAGGACCCCTGACAGTTAAGTCCAGTCACAGACGACTCTGGGGTTGTGGCGCTCATCTCACTTTACAGGCTGAGGGAGCTGGCGTTTGTCCACAGACAGTTTTTCCGGGTCATGTGGCCAGCATGACTAAGCTGCTTCTGGTGCAACAGAACACCAAAACCAGAGCAGCACACGAAAACGCTGTTTACCTTCCCACCAGAGAGGTACCTATTTATTTACTAGCATGTTTTGGCATGCTTTTGAACTGCTAGGTTGGCAGGAGCTGGGACTGAGCAACGGGAGCTCACCCCGTCGCGGCAATTCAAACCGCTGAGCTTTTGATTGGCAAGCGCAAGAGGCTCAGTGGTTTAGACCACAGCGCCACATACATAAAACTGCCAGAGAGTCATTACTTCATATTGGGGCTTGATTGCCTGCCAGAGATCATTACATGTGTTATGTCATGTACCCACTGCAGCCGTTTTGTGACTGGTGCCCATTCCAAATGTGCTCACCATCCCTCAAAAGTTGGTGAGCACTGGATTCCAGTCAGGAGTAGTTTTCTGGGGTTTCAGACATGAGGAGATCCCAGAGGTTGAACTGGGACCTTTTGCATGCAGCAAATGTTCTCTACCACTAAGCTAGGGCCCTTCCCCAAATTCATGGAATATAGGATTATCACCTCCCTGTTAGTAAAGTGAGTGTCCCATATGCTGGCAGGCTGGGCACAAAAACAGACCAAGAGAGATAACAAGAGTGGAAGCCTGACCTAGCAGTTGGAGAGGCTATGACTAACATATTTATTCAATTCTCATCTTTGGTGTCTTGTTTCTGTATGGATGCCAGGACGCAATGATATTTCAGTTGCAGAGATAACTCATTGTACATGATTACTGCCAGATATCTTGTAAATATGATCTATGATTTTGGGTTTGCTCTTCTGGTTAATTAAAAAGTTTGATTGACAGATGCAAATACCTTCTTTTATGAGGAAGCCCAAGAATTCTGCTTTGCAGAATGCTAAATGACTCAAAGGCTGCATTCAAGATAAGGACAAACAACAGCAACAACGAGGACACAATTACTGTTTTATCAACAGTAGAGATAATGATTTCACTTCATGCACACTTTGTACAATTATAGATTTAAGCAGAAGACTACAGAATAAATTTACCCAGTGACTTTATAGTCCAAATTCGCGTTAGGGAACCTTTAATATGAAGCTACAATGGATTTTTTATTATTATTATGCCACATATAACACATTGTTTTTTTATTACTGCTAATATTTTGTATTGCGCACAATGGATTTGATCAAAAAGTCCCGTAGGGTACTCTTCCCCCTCTTCCAGAGTGTAACGAGGCTTTATAAGAGACATGGAGCTGCCACTGCTTTGAGTCTTTGTGCTCTCTCGTTCTTATTACATGTGCAATAATATGGTCCGGCAAACGCCATGCATGCTTTGGTAACAATTCAGATTGGATTCAAGAGGCTGTCCTTGGAAATAATTTGGAAACTACAAACTGGTGCGAGACCTGACAGCCAGAATCTTAAGTGCAACCTCTTTCTTTCTTTCTTTTTTTTAAGATTGCATATTACACTGGTAATTTACTGGTTTGCATTTCCTTTCTGAGTTCAATTCAAGGCAATTGTTTTGATATTCAAAACCTGATGACCAGGATATTTAAAGGACTGCCTGCCCTCAGAATGCAACATACTCAAGAGCCCAGCAGATGCAGCCGACGCAAACACAATGCTTGGGAATTGCCATCCCAGAGGCTTCCAAATCATAGAATCACAGATTTGGAAGAGTCTTCCAAGGGCCATCTAGTCCAACCCCCTGCAATGATGGGATCACAGCAAAATAATGAAGAGCAGGTAGTATCTGTTGACATTTCCATTCCACCTTAAGGAACAAACATGGGATTCATATGTATCACATGTCTGTTTACATTCCAGCACAGTATGCTGGGAACTTCCGCTGTGTATAGCTTTTGTTTTTAGCTGTGACGACATGCAAGAGAGATGACATGTTTCTTTGTCCTGATTTATGATTAATAAATCTGTAGTTGTAGTATGCTTCCGCAAGCCTCATGCCTATTCTGTGTGTGCAGTTCTCTCTGCTGATAGTGTGCCCTGGCTCAGAAGCCCGGCTCGCTGATTTACGTTGGAGCAGAGGTGATGGTCTTTGCAGCGGGACGGCTGGAAGGGAACGGCTCAGTTGGGGCTTGTCAGCTGGCCTCCCGGCCCTCTGCATGCTAACGGTATCTCTGCTCATGCAGACACTTTCCCTTCCTGTCATCGGAGTCTTAGCCCCTCTCCCAGTCATCCTAACAATTCTTAAGATGTTATAAAGGTTGAGAGGATAAAGTTCAGCAATGCATAGGTTACACTGGCAAGGCAACCATGTCCTAAACTTCATTCTAGTATTAATGTTTCCTTTCCCCCCTCTTTGTGCTAGTAATAGATAGCATGGATAAGTGTGGCACATGGCTGGCCTGTTGAGAGCTATCGAATTGCGCACCCAACTGATTAGGAGAGTTTATTCATCAGGGGTAGCCAACATGATACTGTCGAAATATCGTTGGATTGCAGCTTCCATTGCATTGCAGGGGGTTGGACTAGATGACCCTGGAGGTCCCTTCCAACTCTACAATTCTATGATTCCTTCAGCCCCAGCCAGCATGACCAATGGTTATAATCCAACAATGATTTTACAACATTAGCTCCCCCTTCTAATTCCCCTTTACTATGAATGTGCAGTGGATCTGAATGAATCTTGCATCCCAAAATGAAGCAGGTTGCTTTAGAAAGATTCGCAACTTGCGCAAGGCAAAGTGGAATCTCTTTCAAATGTCCTGCACTAGGAGCCTCTGAAGTGATCATTATTCATTGTTGTGGTTCATTCATAATTTCTGTTCATGGTTGTGGTGGTTTTCAGCCCACAAACGATACATGATTGATGACACCCCCCAACACATTTGCATTGTATTTCCTTTGCACTGAAATGAATGATGCAGAATAACATAACAATGCAACAATGGTGTGACTGGTTACATAATACTCTTCCACAGCAGACAGTGAGTCAAATATCATAGCTTTTTTGGAAGCTGAACTGCAGTGGAAAAGAAACAGCAGAGCAGGTGGCGAATATAGTTTGGAGCAGAAATCAATGCCTTCTTACATTCCTAAATCCTCATTTATAAACTGCTTCCCAACAAATGTTTATGAAGTAGTGTAAATGAGAAATATTTCTTCTTCTCAGATATAGTAAAAATAAATAAATACAAAAATACATCCATAATCTAAAGAATGGATCTCAAAAACATAAAATTGCACAGATTCCGGATAGTATACAATACAAAGTGTGAGGCTTTATAAGTGGGAGAGACATTCATTCATTGCATGTGAGAGAAGGAGCTGACCAGCACTCTTTCAGTTGCTCACAAAATCTTACGCCACAATCTTCTTGTTTGGCCTTCGAGGTGCCACAAAGTTCTTTTTTGTTTTCGCTGCAACAGACTAACAAGGCAATCCCTGGGGAATGTCAACTAATTGATCCGTCAAGGATAACTTCTGTGCATGCGGAATGTAAATTCAAGACTAATGAATTAATGGTCTTATTTGGGAGATTTAATTTCCGTACCAACCCACTCTGAGTTTCCAGTGACAGTCTGCCAAATAAATGGTGATTCATTAGCACAGCCAGCCAGCAAATGGCAACTTCCCTCACAAAACAGTCAGAGGCACAAATGTAACTTGGCAGAATCCTCCTGCCATCAATGTGGACAATAATTAGCATGGCTGAACAGAGTTCACTCTCACTTTCCAAAGGTCTCAAATTGTTTGAATTCCTCTTTGGCTTAATAATCCAAATATTTAAATCAGCCTTCTTCTTTTTAATTCAGTATATCAGCCAGAATCCCCATGACAGGCAAATAAAATGAGTGCTTGCGTGTTGTTTATGTGCCAAGCAACAACATCCCTTGCAACCAATTAAAGAATTGAAGATCAGCAACCCCCCCCCCAAGTAACGCGTCTGAGCAAGAAATTTGCTTCTGCACATTATTCCAAGCTAAATGTGGATTTCCCATTTCCCTCATTTATTTATATACCATCAGCCCACTTAACTCTTTGTAACGACAATCATTTAATGGGTAGAAACGGCAACCTGCTCAAACAATAAAGCTGCTCTGTGAGAACAATGGCACGTGGTCCGAAATTTTTAGGTAGGCCCTGACCTTCCAAAACGACGTTCACGTAGACTTGGTAGGTCAGGAGCATCCCAGTTTCTGAGATTTCAGGAGCCAAATAAATCTGAGACCTAGGAATGGCCCCTGGTGATGTCACAGGGGCAGGCCCTGGAGATGGAAATTAATTAGGAGAGCAGAGCAGAGCATAAGAAGATAGACCTCCCCAGAGTGTCTATGCTATAATTTGCAGCCAAGTCCCTGGGGCCCTGGGTGCACCCACAAAATTCCCCATGAATGGTCATGCACCCACAAATTCCAGTGCCAGGGCCATGCCACGCTGCATGGCATCCATGACCCTGGGCACCCACGGTCACGAAGCCAAGTTGGCACTCCTGTGCTGGGCTGAAGTTTGCAAGCTGCATGCGTGGTCTTCTTAATATATATTTTAAAATTTTTTTATTATTAAAAGCTGTCTTACCCACCTGGAGCGCCAAGCCCTCTGCCTAGCAGCTGGAGGAGGCCAGGCAAACTGGAGACTTCAGGTCAGACCCAGAGGTCTGGCAACCCAACATGGACATAAGACTTTACACAGACTCCCTTGGAACGCAGTGGAGGTTTTAAAGCAGAGTTTGGGGTTAGTCATCTGTCATGGATGCTTTAGCTGAGATTCCTATGTTGCAGAGGGCTATACTCAATTACCCTTAGGGTACTTTCTCTACAAATCTATGCTTATATGTACAGGAATTCTGTAGCTTTGGGCGCTTTTGATCATTCAAGCTCTCAAAGACCAAAACCTCCAGAAGTAAAAAAATATCATGCTTTAATATAAAATGCCTGATCACTGTGATGATCTCGGGAAGACTCCTACACTTATCTCCCATATATTTAATTTCTACATGAACTAATGTTGTTTTTCCATAGAGTTTGGGACACTGCTGCCGTTGAAACGAGACAGGCGCCTACAATTCTGACATTTCATCGCCTATTGCTATGTGTTTTTAAGAGAATGGATTTGATTCAATGTTGGCCATTCTGTATTTTATGATCATATGATATTGCAATTGTTTTTATTGTACACCGTCATGATATTTGCAAATGTCAAATATGAATTTTCGCATTACCCCTGATTTAAACATCACGAGGAATTGAATAAGGTTCTCACCTTTCTAACCTCAGTTGCCAGTTGCTGAAGAGAAGGAGATGCGATGGTATGCAAAACTGCTTTGCCCCTGACTGGATCGTGGAGACTCACATACGCCACAGCGTTCCTCTGGAGAACTTCCTTGAGATCCTGAAACAAGCAATCATACTGAATAAGAGGATCACATTTAAGATGTACAATATTCATTTAGTCCCTTGCAAAGGGAAGAAAAGGTGTGTGTGTGTGTTGTGTTTTACTACCCACTCCAATTCCCTAAGTAATAATTAACTCATTTCCCCCACCCTCTATAATA